CCAGGTGTGTCCCCCCCTCACCTGTAGGTGATCTCGGGCTGCTCCCAGGTGTCCCCAGGTGTCCCAGGTGTCCCCAGGTATCCCCTCACCTGTCCCAGGTGTGTCCCCAGGTGTGTCCCCCCCTCACCTGTAGGTGATCTCGGGCTGCTCCCAGCGCAGGCCCTGCAGGGCGAATCGGCGCCGCCGCACCTGAGCCTTCACCTGCGCCCCGAACTTATCGGGGACCCCGCAGCGGGGCCTCAGCATGGCCCTGTGGGACCGGAACGGACCAGTATGGACCAGTATGGACCAGTATGGACCAGTATGGACCAGTATGGACCAGTATGGACCAGTATGGACCAGTATAAACCAGTATAAACCAGTATGGACCAGTATGGACCAGTATGGACCAGTATAAACCAGTATAAACCAGTTTAAACCAGTATAAACCAGTATAAACCAGTATAAACCAGTATGGACCAGTATAAACCAGTATGGACCAGTATAAACCAGTATGGACCGGTATGGACCGGTATGGACCAGTTCAGACCAGTGTAAACCAGTATAAACCAGTATAAACCAGTATAAACCAGTATAAACCAGTATGGACCGGTATAAACCAGTATAAACCAGTATAAACCAGTTTAAACCAGTATAAACCAGTATGGACCAGTATAAACCAGTATAAACCAGTATAAAAAATCCCCCAAAAATCCCCAAAAATCCCCAAAAATTCCAAAAAAAATCCCCAAAAATTCCCCAAAAATTCCCCAAAAAATCCCCAAAAAATCCCCAAAAAATAAAAAAAAAATTCCCCAAAAATTCCCCAAAAATCCCAAAAAATCCCCAAAAATCAAAAAAAAATCCACAAAAATTCCCCAAAAATGCCCAAAAATCCCAAAAAATCCCCAAAAAATTCCCCAAAAATTCCCCAAAAATCCTCCAAGAATTCCCCAAAAATTCCCCAAAAAATCCCCAAAAAATACCTGAAAATCCCCAAAAAATCCCCCAAAAATCCTCAAAAATTCCCAAAAAATTCTCAAAAAATCCCCAAAAATTCCCCAAAAATCCCCCCAAAAAATCCCAAAAAATCCCCCCAAAATTCCACAAAAATTCCCAAAAAATCCCCAAAAAATCCCCAAAAAATCCCCAAAAATTCCAAAAAAATCCCCAAAAAATCCCCAAAAATCCCCAAAAAAATCCCCAAAAATCCCCAAAAAAATCCCCAAAAAATCCCCAAAAACCCCAAAAAATCCCAAAAAATTCCAAAAAATCCCCAAAAAATCCCCAAAAATTCCCCAAAAAATCCCCAAAAATTCCCCAAAAATTCCCAAAAAATCCCCAAAAATCCCCCAAAAAATCCCCAAAAATCCCCAAAAAAATCCCCAGAAAATCCCCAAAAAATCCCAAAAAATCCCAAAAAATCCCCAAAAATCCAAAAAAATCCCCAAAAAATCCCAAAAAATCCCAAAAAATCCCCAAAAAATCCCAAAAAAATCCCAAAAAAATCCCAAAAAATCCCAAAAATCCCCAAAAATCCCAAAAAATCCCAAAAAAATCCCAAAAAATCCAAAAAAAATCCCAAAAAATCCCCAAAAATCCCAAAAAATCCCCAAAAATCCAGGTTTTGGGGGGATTTTGGGACGGGGAATTGGGGAAGGGAGGGGAGGAAATCCGGGATTTTTGGGAATTCCCGGAATTCCGGGGTTTTTTTTCCCACAGAGCAGCTCCAGGAAGGAGAAGGAGCAGAAGCAGAATCCGATCCTGAAATACATCGGGAAACCCCGGGGCGGCTCCCAGAGCGGTGAGTGACGCCGGAATTCCCGGAATTCCCGAAATTCCCGGCATTCTCCGGCCCCCAGGGGTTCCCAGGGATTGGTTGGGGAGAGGGGGAATTTCGGAGAAATTTGGGGAATTTTTGGGGGATTTTTTGGGAATTTTTTGGGGAATTTTTTGGGAATTTTTTGGGATTTTTTAGGGGATTTTGGGGGGATTTTTTGGGAATTTTTGGGGGATTTTTTGGGAATTTTTTGGGGATTTTTTGGGAATTTTTTGGGAATTTTTTGGGGAATTTTTTGGGAATTTTTTTGGGATTTTTTAGGGGATTTTTGGTGGATTTTTTGGGAATTTTTGGTGGATTTTTTGGGAATTTTTGGGGGATTTTTTGGGAATTTTTTGGGGATTTTTTGGGAATTTTTTGGGAATTTTTGGGGGATTTTTTAGGGGATTTTTGGGGATTTAATTGGGATTTTTTAGGGAATTTTCCAGGGATTTTCCAGGATTTTCTTGGGCATTTCCCCAGGATTTAATTGGGATTTAATTGGGATTTAATTGGATTAAATTAAATTAATTGGATTAATCCCACCCGGGGATTTCGGGCGGGAATTCCGGGATTTTGGGTGGGAATTCCGGGATTTCGGGCAGGAATTTGGGATTTCGGGTGGGAATTCCTGGATTTCCGGTGGGAATTCCGGGATTTAGGGCAGGAATTTGGGATTTCGGGTGGGAATTCCGGGATTCAGGATGGGAATTCCGGGATTTAGGGCGGGAATTTGGGATTTCGGGTGGGAATTGCGGGATTCCGGGCGGGATCGGGGCCGGGCTCCGGAATCCCGGGATTGAGGAGGAGAAATTCGGGATTGAGGTTGGGAAATCTGGGATTTCGGGTGGGAATCCCGGGATTTAGGATGGGAAATTCCAGGATTTAGGGCAGGAATTTGGGATTTCGGGTGGGAATTCCTGGATTTCCGGGCGGGAATTCCGGGATTTCGGGTGGGAATCCCGGGATTCCCGCAGCGCTGCGCCCGGGGAACGTCCGGAGCATGATCCAACACTTCGAGGGCGGCGCCGACGGAGCCGAAAGCGATCCCGGCCCCCGGAGCCGCTCCGGAGCTTCCGGAACCTTCCAGGAGCCGCCCCTCGCTCCCAGGTATCCCAAAATCCTGGATTTCCCAGGGAATCCTGGGGTTTGCCAGGGAATCCTGGGAGTTTTCCATGGAATTCTGGGATTTTTCCATGGAATTCTGGGATTTTTCCATGGAATTGAGGGGTTTTTTCATGGATTCATGGGACTTTTCTATGGAATTGTGGGATTTTTTCATGGAATTTTGGGATTTTTCCGTGGAATTGTGGGATTTTCCATGGAATCCTGGGGTTTTTTTCATGGATTCACGGGATTTTTCCATGGAATCGTGAGGTTTTTCCATGGAATCGAGGGGATTTCCCCTCAGAATCCCAGGATTCTTTCCCCTTCAATCCCAGGATTTTTTCCTCTTCAATCCCATCATTTTTTTCTCCAAATTCCATTATTATTACCGTAATTACTCAGATTTTTACCGTAATTCCTTGAATTTTTGCCCCCAAATCCCGGGATTTTTGCCCCAACTCCCAGGATTTTTTCCCCAAAATCCCAGGATTTTTTTTCTCCAAATTCCGTTATTATTACCGTAATACCCCCGATTTTTACCGTAATTACTGGGATTTTTACCGTAATTCCTGGAATTTTTGACCCCAAATCCCGGGACTTTTTCCTCAAAATCCCAGGATTTTTTTCCCTAAATCCCAGGATATTTTCCTCTTAAATCCCCGAATTTTTTCCTCTTCAATCCCAGGATTTTTTCTCCAAATCCCATTATTATTACCGTAATAATCCCGATTTTTACCGTAATTACTCAGATTTTTACCGTAATTCCTTGAATCTTCAACCCCAAATCCCGGGATTTTTGCCCCAAATCCTGGGATTTTTCCCCCTAAATCCCAGGATTTTTTCCTCTTCAATCCCCGGATTTTTTCCTCTTCAATCCCAGGATTTTTTTCTCCAAATCCCATTTTTATTACCGTAATACCCTCGATTTTTACCGTAATTTCTTGAATTTTCGACCCCGAATCCCGGGATTTTTGCCCCAAATCCTGGGATTTCCCCCCAATTCCCGGGATTTCCCCCCAATTCCCGTTTTTCCGGCAGCTCCCGCTCCGAGGTTCGCCTGGGCCGCTCGGAGAGCCTGAAGGGCCGGGAGGAGCTGCGGCGCTGCCGGCGCCCGCTGCCGGTGCCGCGATCCCGCAGCGACGCCGACGTGGACGGCAGCGGCTCCGAGACCCCGCGCCTGCACTCGGCCTCCTCCTCCTCCGCCTCCAGCCTCTCCAACAGGTGGGGATTCCCGGAATTCCCAAAATTCCCGGAATTCCGGAGCTTCCAGCTCAGATTTTGGCGCGTTTGGGATGGAAATCATGGAAATTGGGATTGGAAAATTGGGATTTTTTGGGAATGGGATGTGGGTCAGGGTTGAGGTCTCGAGTCTTTGGCCTCTCCAAGAGGTGGGGATTCCCGGAATTCCCAAAATTCCCAAAATTCCAGGAATCCCGGAGCTTCCAGCCCGGATTTTGGCGCGTTTGGGATGGAAATCTGGGAAATTTGGATTGGAAATTTGGGGGTTTTTGGGATTTTTTGGGAAAAAATTTGGCTCTGGGTTGAGGTGTCGAGCCTTTGGCCTCTCCAACAGGTGGGGATTCCCAAAATTCCCGGAATTCCCGGAATTCCGGACCTTCCAACCCGGATTTTGGCGCGTTTGGGATGGAAATCTGGGAAATTTGGATTGGAAAATTGGGATTTTTTGGGAAAAAAATTCGGCTCAAGGTTGAGGCCTTGAGTCTCTGCCTCTCCAAGAGGTGGGAATTCCCAAAATTCCCAAAATTCCCGGAATTCCGGAGCTTCTATCCCGGATTTTGGCACGTTTGGGACGGAAATCCGGGAGATTTGGATTGGAAATTTGGGAATTTGGGTTTTTTTGGGAAGGGTTTGAGCCTCTGCCATCTCTGACAGGTGGAAATTCCCAAAATTCCCAAAATTCCCAAAATTCCCGAGCCCCCATCCCCAATTTTGGCTTCACAGCCGGTTCAGGACGGAAATCCGGGATAAGGAGGGAAAATTGGATTAAATCCCCCCAAAAAATCGGAATTTTCCGGGGTTTTTTGGGATTTCAGAGCTCCCAAATTCCCACAGAAACCCCAAAAAACCGGGAAAAACCTCGGGAAAACCCCGGGATTCGGGCTGGGAAGGGAGAATTTGGGAAAATTTGGGATTTTGGGCTGATTTTTCCGTCTTTTCCCAGATCCCTGGAGAATCCAACCCCTCCCTACACACCAAAGATGGGGCGCAGGTGAGCGGAATTCCCGATTTTCCAGCGGATTTTTCCCGGCTTTTCCCGGTTTTTTTCCTCATTTTTCCCCTTTTTTTTTTTTCCCCAATTTTTTTCCGATTTTTCCCCCCAATTTTCCTTTTTTTTTTCCCAATTTTTTTTCCCGTTTCTTCCCCATTTTTTCCCAATTTTCCCCCTTTTTTCCCCAATTTTCCTCCCAATTTTTCCCCATTTTTTTCCCTCAATTTCCCCAATTTTTCCCCAATTTTTTCCCCAATTTTCCCTTTTTTCCCCCAATTTTTCCCCAATTTTTCCCCCTTTTTTCTCCCAATTTTCCCCCAATTTTTCCCCAATTTTTTCCCAGATTTTCCCCACAATTTTTTCCCAATTTTCCCAATTTTTTCTCAATTTTCCCCAATTTTCCTCCCAGTTTTTCCCCAATTTTTTCCCAGTTTTTCCCCAATTTTTTCCCCTCAATTTCCCCAATTTTTTCCCCAAATTTTCCCTTTTTTCCCCCCAATTTTCCCCAATTTTTCCCCTTTTTTCTCCCAATTTTCCCCCTAATTTTCCCAATTTTTCTCCCAATTTTTCCCCCTTTTTCCCTCAATTTTCCCTTCCCCCCCAATTTTCCCTTAATTTTTCCCCAATTTTTTCCCAGATTTTCCCCAATTTTTTTCCCAATTTTTTCCCAATTTTTTCCCCCAATTTTCCCTTTTTCCCCCCAATTTTTTCTCAATTTCTCCCCTTTTTTACCCCAAT